GAAAACTATGATAGAAGCGAGCACGCCCAAGAATTACACAGCGTGCTTCAGCTTCTTGTCAGCGAGCACTCGGTCTCCGTTGCATTCTCTGGATAAAATCCGGCCTCTTCTTGATGGTCTAGATGGCCGGCAGTATGGATTCGCTGGTGCTCCGGCCTTTTCTACGGCTAGAGATAAGCGTGCTTCTGTAGTCAAATGCGATAACGACAATGGATAAAGCTGAGTTCACTTCTTACTTGTGCCCTTCACAGTTGTTCACGCAGCAGCAGCTCACTGAAATTTGCAGGCGAATTCGATGCAAATAAATGCACTCTTGTGGTTCTCAGCAGGGATTCGGTTCACTCCACAAGTCAGTCGAGACATGAACTGCCATTGTCGGCTCTTAGAGTCGAGCTGAAAGCTGTGGCGGAGCAACGGAAGCATGTAGTACCACTTTTCGGAGTTAGCGCTGCCCATTCCGCAGTGGCTGCAACACCACAAGGCCTCAGCCGCAGACCTGCAAGAAAGCAGAGAATGACCTTTTCATGGCATTCGGAAACCGCGCGCTGCTGATAAGCTTGTAACTTGACTGAAACGCTACATAGGGGACATAAGCATGCCCAAGAAAGAGCTTTCCTCCGGGCCATGCATCCGCTGCCGCAAGCTGGTCTCCCGCCAGCTTACCAGCGTCGATCTCCGCGACGCTGCGGTGGAGCTTGGCTGGCTGAGCCGCAGGTGTGCTAGTTGCAAGAATGTGTGACGATCGTACGAGTACAATTACTACCACTCCTGCTGCTCCGCAGGACCCGCAAAGAGGTTTACATCTGCGACTCGCACGCGGGCTCGCTGAGTCGCCAGGCCTCTTGTTCTGCTCATGTTTGTTCTGGCTACCAAGTTTGCACGCGAAGTGTTGCTCACTGACATTCCTGCAGCATCACCTGCGGCACTGTTGCTTCAGTCAACGGTCGAAGCATAAACACCGTCTTGCCCGGTCAGACCTCTTCCCCGATCTTTTGTTGTGTATGAACGGCCAAGACTGCTCAGACCTCTTGCCCCGATCTTTTATTCTGTGTGGACTGTCAAGACAGGCGAAGAAAAGGAAGCTCGAGGAGGCAACGGTTCCAAGTGTAGCACTTCCTGCTTTGCTGAATCTTCCGGGCCTGTGAGTGCCAAATCTCTATGTTCTAAAATCTGCGGGTTGTCTACGCTTCGAACGTTTATGCTGTACTGCCCGCCGTGCACGCGACGTGCGCGTAAGACGTATAAGAGAGTATATAGTATATAATCTCACAGATGTGACCTCCCCAGCTCCGTAACTCAGAACCCACTGAGCAGATTTCTGCATCCAAGATTCAGCCTCTGAAACCCGAAGGCGCAAGCTGATCAGAAGACGGAATGCAGCAAGGCGCAAGCTGATCAGAAGGCGGAATGCAGCACGCCAGCACTCGAGCTTGCTGAGGCAGGCACTTGGTGCTTCGGGCCTTTCTTGCTACTTCCTGGTTCACAGCTTCAAGCAGTCGGGAGTTTCATTTGCCATTACCACAACCAATAGGACGCACGTGGATGTCCCAACTCGTTTTTGCCAAGAGTTTAGCTGGGTTGGTAAATTCTACCCGGAGACCCGTGCAGGCTGCACGACCTGAACTCGGCGCATCGGCTTCCGTCTACGTCTGCCCGGTCGAGCCTTGGTCATGAAATTTGGAGAGAAACTTGATTGCGTGACCGGTTTCAGCACGTCGCCCCCGGATCCTCCCGAAACAAACACAGCTCTAACGCTGTCCTACAGCGTTACGGCCTTGCGAGGAGCTAGATCAGGGGGAGCGCGGTCAGATCTCCTGGCGCAAAGGTGACGACCACGACAAGGCCGAGCAGAGGGATGCAGAATTCAGCTCTTTTTGCTGTCTTTCAGCTCGTTCTCACAAAATTGGTCGCTCATGCTAGGCTGGTCACTTCCCATGACTCCCGGCAGGTGGCCCTTGACTTCTTGAACGAGAAAGGCTACCCGGCGCACAACATTCCCACCATCGTCAGCTTCCTGAAGCATGTCGAGAAGGCACGGAGATCATGGACGCTTCTAGTGCTGAAGGATCCCGGACTTCTTCTGAAACGCTTCAGTAGACCTCAGCCTAAACGATCCCAACCTCCAACCCTCCACCTTGGGCAGCTATAAACACTAGAACGCCCAAGTTCTTAGTCCCATGGACCCGAAACCTTCGACCCAGAAAAGCAAGCATTCTGAACCGCCCTTCTTCCGCACGAGTTGGAGAGGCCAGTCTTGTCGTTTCCAAGCTCCCAACTGTCGCCGAGCCCGTGGCTGCTGCGGTCTTGGAATTCTAGAGTCTCTGTAGTAGGGGTTTAGTTTAGGGTCTAGGGATGATTAAGGTTTAGAAATTGGCGATGGGATGTTTAAGGTTTCGGGTTTAGGGATGTCCAGGGTTTAGGGCTCAGGCTTCAAGGTCAGCGGGATTTAGCGGTCAATAATTGCAAAAGCCTCTGGGTGTTTTGAACCTCAGACTCCTATTGCTTTGGGCACTTCAGTGGGATGATTCTCGGGCTGTCAAGAAAGGCCACATGCTCAGCATCCTGCACCTTTCTTTTACCAAGTAGGAAGATTTTTTTGGGTATCCACTCTGCGACAGTACACTTTGCGCCCCAGCCCCTTAAGTTTGGAACCACAGCACAGCAAATACGGCTATTCGTATATCATATAAGATACTCCTAACTATAGTTCAATCTGCAGATAATTCAAATTAGGGTACCACAAGCCCTACTGGCTATGTCCCCTTCGCCCCTAAAAGCCGTATAGAGCCTTCACCGGAATCATGACTTCCGAGTCTTTCTTCGTTGCTTCAGCGGAGCCTAGGTTTGAACACGGCATAGACCCAAAGTTTCCTTCCTTTTCTTCATTAAGGAAGATACCGTTTTAGGATATCTTTACTTGTACTTATAAGGGTACGATGATAGGGATCTTTCAAGCAAGCTACCATAAATTACAGGAGGCTTAAGGCCATGAGTTTAAGTATATTCTGTCTTTAAGGGGTGTTGGGCTCTTGCGTAGCTGCTTAGTTGGAATGTACCTTCCAAACCGTCAACCCTAGTTTGAAAGCCCAAACCCAAAAAACCTTAAACGGCCGTAAACCTCTGACATGCTAGCAGAGGCGGCGAACGCAGAACTGGAGAAGCAGCTGGTGACCGACAGAAAGCAGGCAAGGCCACCGGAACCTTCATAAAGCCCTTACAAAGTTGCAAAGCCCTCATCTAATGGTCGGAAACTACTACCAGCACCGTATTCCTTACGGTGCCTTATGTTGTATTTGTACTACAAACTACCCCGCCCCGGTGCGAATTCTTCAGGATCTTACATATATATATATACATAAGATTAAATAATCATATATATATATGTATATATACACACACATATATATAACATACACACACGTATTTTTTCCCTTATAGGCGCTGTTCCGACGCAGGCGGAGGCGAAGCAGGAGGAGCTGAAAGCTTCCCTGGAAGCCTCGAAGGCCCGGAAAGACCCGCACATGTTGGGTTGTTAAACGAATCACCCGAAATGGTACTAGGAAGGTTCCTGACGTATCCAGGCGCTGACTGCCCTCCATCATTGGAGCCATAGAAGTCTACGGCTTTCTTATCACGGGAACCCTTCTCAAGAGCAGCGACATCCTGTCACTTGAAACTGTCTCCGCTGTGTAAGCCCCGACAATACCCTACACGACTGCCAGTGTAGGTCTGTGCCTGTGCGTGCAAGCCAATTCTGCCACTGGTCCAACAGAAGAACCTTGCAGTGGGTGTACGCTTGACAGGGTTCATGTACCTTCCAAACCGTCACCCCTAAGCCATAAGTCTGACAAAAAACACACCCGAGACCCTGAACCTTAAACGGCCCTACACCGACCTAAACCTCTGACATGGTAACAGAGGCGGCGACCGCAGACCTGGAGAAGCAGCTGGTGACCCAGAGAGATCAGGCAAGGCCAGCGGAACCCTCATAAAGCCCTTGCAAAGCCCCTTCTAATGGTCGGAAACAACAACCACAGCGGTATTCCTCACGATCCGTATGTTATGCTTGTAGTACGAATTACGCCGCGCCGGTTCCAATGGTTCAGGCTCTTACATATATATATATATGTTCGTATGTACAACTAAGTAAACATATGTCTTTATACACGTACATACATATATACATGCACACATACA